GATTAAGCTGTGCAATGGCCCTCTTTTGTTTTAGTCTGTGCACTTGGAGAAAGTCTGCCATACGCTCAAGTAGCAAAGGCTCATGGGACGTTTTATAAATTGATAAAATATGAGTTTTTGTGGGCTTGTAAAATGTGCAAATCTACGTGTCAATCAATCAATCAATCAATCAATAACTTAATTTTTGGTAAATTTTTCACATTGAACATGTGGGGTTAAATATTATCTAAATATTTCTTGTTGTCATTTCATGTTTCATGTTTAATCCTATTAAATCAAAGATAAAGTCAGCACCATGAATGAAAACTACCTTCACTACAGCCCTTTTATATAGTCATTTGACCAAAGGAAACACTGTGTTAGGATAACAGGTTACAACCTTGTAACTTTGGCAACTGTTGGTGGGCCAAATCAAATGGCTTGGTGGGCCAAATTTGGCCCGCGGGCCCCACTTTGGGCTCCTCTGACGTAGATATTCCAAAGTACCCTGTGGCTGTAACTACCCTAGGTACCACCTTAATAGGTCTACACTGTATGTACTCCATGATTAACTCAAGCTCCTCTGTAAATACACTGTAAGTACTCTATTACCCTGCAAATAACCTGTATGTACCTTGTAAGTACCTGTAATGTACACTTTGTGAATACACTGTACTTTTCCTGTATGTACCATAATAAATACTCTGCAACAACCTAGTAAGCTATACCCCTAAAAAATCTTGTAGGTACCTCGATCTCATAAGTACATTGTAACTGTGTAAGTACCCTGCAAGCCAAGTACTCTGTCATTACCCTTCAAATACCTAGTATGTACCCCAGTAATTACCTGGCTGTAATCACCTTTTAGGTACCCCCATGTATACCTTGTAAACACCCTGTTTACTCTGTTCTCACCAAGCATTACATGATTATTTTGAGTACCTTGTATGTTCCCCATAGATATGCTGAAGGTACTGTAATTACCCTGTAAATATGCTGTATGTACCCTTGTAAGTACCCCATGCCATGTTTACATCCTCCTGTTAGACCAATAAATCTCCATCTCAAATTTCTTCAAATTAAGAATGAAATGTTTCATCAAAGAGTGGATATCTTTTAGAAATTATATTTTGTTTTATTAATTCATACAAAGGTCTCAAATGTGATCAAGAAATTTTTTCCAGGATATAAGATAAATGCTTTATTTCATTTCTGTGAAAAAGTAGGTTTAAATAATTTACAAGCCGTTTATTTTTTACAAAGTAACTCAGCAATTTTAGAATTTGTTCCACATCTGACACTTAATAAAGCTTCACAGCAATAAAAAAGGACAAAAGAAGCCTGAAGCAGTTGTTAGCAATCAATAATGACCTCATAGTAATTGTATCTATTGCAAATTCAAAATCTGATATTTTTTAAAATATGGTTAAAGCCTTTACCCCTGCTTGTTTATGTTATATACGCACAGTATATACTGGGTGTATCAGAAAAAATGATACTCAGAAAAATCGCCATAAAACTAACATAGATAATAATTTTGAATTATTATTATTAACCTTTGGTAGAGGGGATCATTCTGCTTCGAATGACACCAAAATCTTAGTTAACGCTTCACGCTCCAGTGAGCAGCGACAGTTGGAAATTCACAAAATTCATGTCCTTTGCGCAAGGAAATGCGAGGGTTAAAATACGATCTGTCACATAAAATTAAAAGTTTAGCTGGTGTTTTCCAAGCATGCCAAGGCGTTTTTAAAATAATTAACCCTTTCATGTCCTAACGTCAAAACAGATACATCTCATTTTTGAGTGGATCATAACCAAGTAAACATGTGAAGTGGCCGTGGACAAGTCAATCCAGTCAAGAGGCAATACTCAAGCAAAGGTCAAGACAGTTGTGTTGGAGGGAAAAGAAAGATAGACAAAGTTTATTTTTTCAACATTTAATATTCTTCCTCACAACACCACAGCAAACAAAGTTCAGTAGTACAGAACACAAACATTTGCCCTTTTAAAACACTGAGCTTTAACTACAGGATTGTTGGTGGGAATGTTTTAAAGACAGATCTGCATTGGTAGTTACATTTTGTTTCTGTTCTCTGGTCCCTAATTTCTGTTCGGTCGCGGTTTAAACCACATTCTACAGTCTAATCTTCATGTTTCTGTGCATTTCAGCACACGACCAATAAAATCAGGCATTAGATTGTACGTTTGTGTGAAAGCAAAGATATTCTTTCTATAAAGTGCACATCGTGTGTCTACAGTTGTGCGAGTCTGTGATGCCACAAACGTCGAATGACCCTTTTTTTATAACTTATTGAAAAAGCAACACATAACTGATCTGTACTCTATTCTGCAGGGCTATGACACGTCTATTTCTTGGCTTTTCCCTGAGCAGCCACAGCTTCCATGGCCTTTTTAACGGTCTCATCATCTCCCAGGAACTGCATAGGTCGAATGGGCTTCAGGTTCTTGTCCAGCTCGTACACAATGGGAATGCCTGTGGGCAAGTTCAGCTCCATGATGGCTTCCTCTGACATACCTGGGGCCAGAGAGGGAGGGAGGGAGGGAGGGAGGGAGAGAAAACGGTATGAAATCAAAGGAAATATCAACCAAAACAAAATGCAAAGCTAGAATTCAGCAACACACTTTCCTGTCCAGTTTTTAGCAAACCCATGCCTAATTTATGGGATTTTACTGGTGATTTTCTTCTTCTTTTTTAAACCAGATATACAAACTAAAAACGAAGAAAGTTCTTGTTTAATGAGACAGGGACTCAGATTATGTGATCGTCTGACTCGTGACTGATATTATACATGCAGTCATTAATCACACATAGATCATTAGAGGTAGACCCTCTGTCCAGTTTGGGGCATGTTTGTATTAACAACCAGCCAATAATTGTTTTCATACAGCACTTCAATCAGTGTATCCCACAATCTAGATGCTGGCAGTGATTTTAAAACATACTGACATGAGCACAATCACTATTACTGTGGGGTTTCCCCCCGGTAATAAGTCCTTTCAATAAGTGCTAATCAGCATTTTTAGTTTTTAATGTGCCAGCAAAGGAGGGGTTCAAAATTTAGAATCAAATTTAAACAGTCAAAATACGCTGTCAGTCTGAGACAAAGACTCAAAAAACATCATTTTGGACATCAGAGCGTTTCTACTCATGGGGATGTCAGCAAGAGATAACAGTCGGAGGTTAATACACAGGTTCCATCATGAAGATGTGAGAACGGAAGTATAAATCAGCCTTAACTAGGGCTGGGCGGTATGACTTCAGATTCATATCATGGTATAAATTGAACACCTTCACGGTAACGGTATATATCGCGGTAGAAAATTATCATAAAAAGTTAAGATAATGTAATTTTTAAGAGCAATGGGCCTCATGCAAGAACATGTTCGTATCCTTATCCTAAATTTCTCTTACTTTTGTTCGTACAAAGGGTTCGTACGAACATGTCACGTCAGATTCAACAAACTCTTCTATCT